TGCTAGTGCTATCTATTTTGGTTATAAATAACTAAAAAAAAAGTGGCCAGGAAAATGACTGATTTTCATATGGCAAACTTATTTAGAGAAAAAATTATTTTCAACAAAGTTTTTGGAAATAATACATTCTATATACATTCTTCTTCATATATTCTAGAAATGCTTACAACAATTGAGATAAAAAAAATAGATACTGAAAAATGTAAGGAAAGTTTTGAGTCTAGTTATTATTGGAAATAGTGTTTGTGACATACCAGGAAAATGGCATTTTGAAATGTAATTAAATTTCTTAAATATATAAAACAACCAATGCTAGTGCAAAGTCATTTTAAAATGCTAACAGTAATGCTATTTATTAAAATTTTTTTGAAAAAAGTTCTTTTAGTAGTATAGTATATTAGATCTTGGAGCAATAGACTGTCAATTGTCGTATTTCGTGAGAATCACCCATACATAAGTAATGATTATTGACTGGGTTTTTTTTGATTCAACATTTTCCATTCGCCACTTTCTCAATTTCCTTTACGTCATTTTTTCGTCCTCATTTTCTAAATCTATGGTGAAAATGTGAATTTCTCATTCATGTATCCTAAAATGTTATGTTCTGATTTCGGGGGAATTATTATTTTTATTTTTTATTTGCTTGATTGTGAATTAAAGTTTTAAAATTTTGAGAAATGTAATCTTAAAATTTCGTTTTTCGGTTAAATAAATAAATAATAATGAAAAAACCTTTTTCTTTTTAAATAAAAGCAAAATCATACACCACAGGAGAATTTTCTTGTATCTTTAACATTTTATGCTAAAAAAGTATTAATTATTTGATACATTACCTTGCATAGAACTTTATACTGCACTAAATGCTTTTTTCTTAAATCGTGTCAAATTTTTAATCGTATAAAATTTTTTAAGTCACTTTTATTATTTTTAATGTCCAATGAGAGAGGCTATTTTCAGATTTTGTAATTCAAATTTATAGATTTATATGGACAACTAGAACAAAAAGCTACATTAAAGAACGTATACTTTACAAAAAAAAGTTTATATTTGTCAAGTAATTATACCCCACTTTCAAATATCTTACGAATAACTAAACAATATAACAAACATAATAAGAAATAATGCATTAAAAAGCCAAAAATTTCAAATCTCGCAGATAAATAACCAATTAAAAACTATACATGAATAGTATTCAGTAACTGGCTCCATGAAGATAAATATTAAAATTGCATATCATAATTTTTATCGTTAATATATTTTTTATATTTATTTCTAAACGAATAAAAAATTAATGTTCAACCTCTTCTAAAATTATTTATCCCATAAACTCAAAGATAAGATTCAATGTCTTATTATTTGACATGGTATGTTTAATTTCAACTGTTGAAAATCAAATTCGGCGAGGATCAAACGCTCTGTGACGTGATCTGTAATTTAAAAATTAACCCATATTGATAACATAATTTATTTACGACGAAAAAATAAGTCGGAAATGACATACAAATTGTATCCGTGTCTGTAACATATGAAGGCTTGAGCACATAGATAAGTAAGCATTAAAAGAAATCGACTTAATTGTCACTTCCTTATTGTCAATTCATTTCTAATATTTTTTTTGTCAAGAAGTTTATATTAAAGACTGTTTTTTCTTTGAGTTAAAGTATAGGCAAATTAATATTATTAGGCAAATTAATTATTCTGAGAATTTGTTTCTAAATTTTAAATGATAAAATTTATTTAAAATTTTAGGATTTCTATCTGCAAGATATGATAGAAAGACTTATTTGTCACTTATGATTCTTGTCTGCTTAGTGTCACGAGCTTTGTAACATAAGATTATGGGTTACGTATTCAAGCAAATCGAAAATTTGCATAATCTATGAGAAAAACGTTAAAATTAACTTTTAAAATCTATTACATACTTTTTTTTTGGACACAGCTCAAAATGCGTGTTTAAGAAAATAAACAGCTCGTAAAGCGTGTTTAAGAAATGGAACACAGCTAAAAATGTATAGTTACGAAAATGGACACAGCTCAAAAAGTATATTTATGGAAATGAACTCAGCTTAAAATGAGTGTTTAAGAAAATAGGCATATCTATTTGAGAAAATCTATATAGCATTTGATTTTGTTTTTTAAACTACTTTTATAAGTACATATTATAATTTTTAAAGAATCAATTACTGAATCAAAACNTTTTTTTTTTTTTTTTTTTTTTTTTTTTTTTTTTTTTTTTTTTTTTTTTTTTTTTTTTTTTTTTTTTTTTTTTTTTTTTTTTTTTTTTTAGCATAATGAATAGGTTGAAGCTCAAGTACGATTTTTACACGTTTAGCATTGAAGAGGACAATTTAGAAATTAATTTACAGAGAAGTATCAAAAAACTGATGCATTTAAAAAAATGTCTTTTATTGGTATCCCTTTCATGATATAAATATCTTGTATACATCGGAGTTGAAATTTAATTTTAAATAGAAACTCTAGTATGATTTTGAAAACATGGTTACACGTTTATCGTTGAGATGACAATTTAGAAATTAATTTACACGGTAGTTTCACAAAACTGATGTATTTAAAATAAAATATATATATATTTTAATATGTATTTTATTAAGATAAATGTCCTGTACGCCGGAGTTGAATTTAAATTTCAAATATCATAACTGGTTCAAACTTGATTACGATTTTGGAAAAATTGTTACCTGTTAAGCTTTGCAAAAAACAATTTAGAAATTATTTTTACAGAATAACATCATAAAAACTATGTTTCTAGAATATTATTTTGTATAAAATATTTTTTTATAGAATATCTTTTTTTAAGATAGTGTTACTCTTTTCGGAAGTTAATTTGAAATAGTAAGTGCGTTTGAAAGTCAGGCAAATTTATGAAAATATGGTTACATGTTTGTCGTAACAATGGGCACTTTCGAAATTGTTTTTAAACAATTGCACATTGAAACTTAGATTTTTTTTAACATACATAATTTTTAAAAATTTCATCCAATGTCTTATACTTTTAAATTAAGCTTTATTTTTTCGAAGCAAGTATAGTAAAAAAAAAAAATTTACTCAAACTGAAAAAAATAACTGTCAGCTGGATGTGCCAGTATAAAACGTTTATTTTTTTCACGGAAAATACTGTACTCAGAAAATACTGTACACAGCTTTTTAAGCAGATATAGTATTGTTATTTTGATAACCAAATTCCGCTATTTTAACAAAAATTCTATAAAGTAATTGTGTCAGCACTGTGGTCGGTTCATGCCCGTTGATGCTGGGATTCAAACCTGGGTCACCTCGTAGTAATTAGAGAGCTCTGTCCTGTGAGCTACCGCAGCTCTAGTTTGTGAGTATGAAAAAAAATCTTAAACAATTTTTATCTTAAAAGTTTTACTTTTTGAAATAATATTTAAGTGTAAAAATTATTAAAAACTATTGTCTGGTAAACTTACCTAAATATTATATCGAAAGAAATGTAATAATCAGGTAGAATATCAATTTCACAATAAAATTGAATTGCATTTTTACTTATGCAATGTTCAAAAAATCCATAAAATAATTCCAGGAAATAAGACCAAGTGTAAAAAATAATTGTAAAACGATTTGGAAAAAGTTAGAGCTATCGTGCGGTTAGTCAAACTGCATGCAAAAACTAGAATTTGAGCTGACAGTTTTAATCTGTTTATGATTAGAATGAAAAACAGTGAAAAACCGTTTTGTTGACGCAGTTTTAAATCGCCAAATATACATTGAAAGTATGTAAAAAGAACAGGAATTTTTAACAGTTAAAATTTCGAATATATTTTTAAAAATATGGTTACATGTTTTGCGTTAAGAAGGTCAGTTTAGGAATCATTTTTGTTTAGTTGTTCCTGAAAACCAATTTTTTTCCTTTTTTAATATTAAAGAACCAGATGTCATTCTATAAAATTATCCACTTATTTTGAAACTGAGCTTTCTCTAAGGACAAAAAGAGGGATAATATACCTCATATTTAATACTCCACAAATACGAATAATATAACTTAGTGATCAATATAGTTCATTATTCGTCTTGTTATAATCGTTTTGGTTATATTTTGACAGTGACCAATTTCACGTGATTTGGTTTTCTTTTTATTAAGTAATCTGCAAAAAATGTGTTTGTTTCTTAACTTTTGAATACAAGGGTAGATCTAAAGACTTTTGGGAAATGCAATCTTTTTTCAAAAATGCTGTAGGAAACTATGTATTGGGTTACTTTTTAATAGTTATTTGTGCAGTACACAATATATCTGCAATTTTGTGTATAAAAAATTGAGTTTATTGGGATAAAATTGGTACAGCTAATGCTACCACTATGTGCAGCAAGGTGCTGTTTCTCTGGACAATTCTTCTTTAAATAACTGACGAATTTTAATTTTTTAATTGTTTTTGTTGAATTTTCGAAGTAAAATTAAATATCGAAAAGTGTTACAAAGTACAATAGTTTCCCTTATACTCCATGTGTGAACCATAGAAATATCATTATTAAACTGAGCTTAGTGCGAAAAATAATTTTTGCTGTTGAGAAAAAGAAAATTTGCAAATTTATATATTATCAACGAAATTCAACTTATTGTTTAGAAAAACAATAAATAACTTTTACTTCCTGCATTAATCTTAGCCATTTTTTTAATAGATATAAAAAAAAAGCATTTTTAAATTGTTCTGAAATAGCAAATTATGTGTACATATTACATATGCATAGTATTAAATATATGGTAAAAAGTGAAACAATATTTTCCATTTATTTATTTGCAATAATGAGTGGCGCTGAATAAACTTACTCTTTGTTTCTACGTTAAACTTTAAAACACTTATTTTTGACGTCTGAGAATGATGGAGGGTAGAATTTCTGTTTAAGCCTAAAATGCTTTAAAAAAATTTCTTCTTTTAAATACTATATGCTAATAAAGAACTGAATATTTATTTTCCAAGGCTATTAGATTTGAAAAATAATTTATATTTTCTTCCTTCTTTTAGGCCAATTCTCGTATCACAAAAATAGCTCAATAATTGGACCTAGGTTGCGGTTTGAACCTAAAATGGAAAAATGAAGTTTACCGAAATGAGCTTAAACCACCATCTTGGATTTACAGAGGAAAGGAGAAGATCAAAAAGGAAAGAAATTCAAGCATTACCATCTTGACAAGTGAGGTGTTGTTTTCTACGTGTCTTCTTCTTATGCCTAGTAAATTGACACTAAAATTAAATTGATAGAAATAATAGTGCAGAAGTTGCAGGAGACTTGGTAAAAAATGACGTATAAAAAAGTAGAGTTTTCGACTATTCTTACAATTACATGTCTGAAATTCTTATTTAAAATAAGAAGATGCTACCTTCTGTTTTTTCTTTCTTTTTTTCAAAATTGAAGAAGAAAAATTTTGATTGAATATTTTAAAAGTTATTAAGTCTTTTTTTTATTATATAAAAAGTAGAGTTTTGTATTTTTATGAATAAAAACTGAGGTATCTACGCCTCTGCCTTTGATACAAACATCTGACATTAAAACTGTAAGTCGATAGGAGTCTAGAAGCTATAAAGGTTTCTTGCATAAAAAAAGTATATATAGTTTTTTGTACCTATTTATGCCTCTGACTTTGCTATTCAGACAAGTAAGGTTAAGGTTTCTCATGTATTTTTCTTTCACTAAATTCAATAAAATAAAAAGTAAGTCAATATAACTAAAAGTTTCGAAGTTCCAAGTGGTTCATGCGTTAAAAATAAATGAAATATTTAATTGAATCTCTTGTAACTTCAAGGCTATTAGGTCTTTTGACTTGTTTATATCTTATTTGGTTTTGGCTAAAATAACGTATAGGATGCAGTATTTCTCTTCTCGATATTGTAATATCAGAGAAGTTGTAGGAATAAATACAAAACAGTACTTTTTCTGCATAATTTTAACGATTAGTCTTATTTACTTTGGTTTCTCTTTGTATAATCCAGTGTATAAAAAAGAGACCTAGGAAATAACATCTTATTTTTCAAGATAAGTGTTTTAAACTCGTAAAAAACCATAACCGAAAACTGTACTTTTTATACTTCATATTAAGTCCATAATAATATCAGAACTATAGTCCTATATTTCTGTTGATGTCATTCGATTCGGCTCAAAATAATACATGGGAGACAGAACCTCATTTGTCTAATTAGTTTTATTTTTTATTTCTAATTCCCATCTGTGTTACCATTTCGCCAATTAAGGCATTTGCAAAGCAGATTTGTTGGCCATTTTTTCAGGGGCACTATATTAGGTGGGCCAACGTTGCTCCCAAAGATAGAACGGAGAATGAAAGAACATCCATGCCTGGTCCGGGATTCGAACCCAAAACCTTTCTGATGCAAGACTGATACCTTGACCCCTACACAGTCTGTCGATATAGTAATAATTGAGTTTTTAATCCTTTTGAAATTTCTCTTCCCCTCATTAAATTCAAGATGGCGGTTAAAGCTCACCTCCGGGAGAAGTTGTAAGCCTCAGATATCCTTCCTTATTGGGCACAAATCATAAGTTTTAAAATAAGTGTTTTTTCCTTCATTGAAATCGTATTTTTTTAAAAAATATATGAAATCTTAAGGGGCAGTATTTCTTATAGTCTATTTTTTCTAAAGATGTTTCTCATATTTTATTAATTCGCATATTTTAGCACTTAACTTCTACAAAAATCAATATGGCGATCTCATTTGTATTTTTTAGTATAATTAAAAGTCCCATTTTTATCGCGATGCGTTAATGCCCATAATGTAGATGTGAAATTATTGAGTTAAATTGTAGAGACAATATGGGATACTATTTCTGCCACTTTTAACATTACTTGTGTAAAGTGTAACTGGTAAATGTGTTATGACAAAGAAATAGATGCAAACAGAGTGAACAATATTTTATTATGAATTCATAGAAGTATTTTATTTTTCTCACAAATGTACAAGTTTTGTTAATTTATATCGTAAAGAAAAAGGAAAATGTTAACTCACATTTTGAAACAGTTAAAAATACTGGAGCAAGTTGAAATATCCGTATTATCGTATTAATTTGATGAAATTTTATGGTCTGAAGTAGAATGATATTACTGTGCAAGTAAGTAACATGGTATTAAATGAACAATCTAAAAAAGCTAAAAGAAATAATTAATAATGTAAAACCTTCATTAGCTTCAAAAATTTTTGAGGGGAAAAAAGTCAACCTAAATAAGTTTGAGAGCTAATCAAGTTTTCACATCATCAAGTTACATGATACTATAGTTCAACTGAGTTATAAGATTGCAGCAAGTTTGTACTTTACTGTGATATGTGGTTCAGAGTAAGATGCTACGATACTTTCAAACTATTTCTGGTTCAATCTTGAACTTTTTTAGTTTGGAACTGTAGAAACATTGTAGTATACTCAACAATTGGCTTCAGCACCATAGCTGTCATTGCGTGCACTTTTTAAAGATCGTTTTGCTTTTTGAAAAAAAAAAAAAAAACTAGCTTGAACAGAATTTTTTAAAAACTTTCGTCAGCCCCTAAAACTGCATTGAATGACTATTAGACCTTTCATAAGTAGGCAAAAATTAAATATTAGATATAATAGTGTTCAATATCATTTATAATAAAATATTTTAAAATCAAGAATAAAATAGCAAAGCATAAACTTTAAAACCCACTTTAAATACAAAAGTATAGATAGTCACTTTAAAAGTATTGGGAACTATAGTTATTAAAGAATAATGGTATAATAATATAACAGTAATAATGATAACATTAAAAATAATAATAGCAGTATAACAATGGCGACATGTGATATTGTCATTTGTAGTATTTTAAATTTCTGCTATATCCAATTCTTGATAAACTGTACTATCTATTAATGTATGCATACGAATAAACAAATAAAAATGAGAATAATATTGAAAATTGATCAAAATCAGTAAATATTTCTATTTTTTATTACACTACAATCGGGGCTTATCGCTTTATAAAATTGTAAACAATGTAAGCATATAAACAATATAAAATATCAGACAATTTTTAATGGTCTGATATTTTATATAAACAATATAAAATATCAGACCATTATATTCTATGACTGATGTTTTGATTATCCGAAAATGTGTAATTTCATGTACGAAATATAGAGACGAAATATAGTGAATCTGTGTCTTAATGATTGGACAGACAATGTTTAAAGGAAAGTTACCTAATTTGCTAAAAATTATTCAAACTTCGAGTATTCGAACTTGTAGTATTTAACTAGAAATATTTAGTTCGGTTGATTTTACATTAAGTCATGGAAATAAATTAAAACTTTAGTTTTATTTTATTTCAATTACATATTCTGTGACATCAGTCATAGAATATAATCCAATTATATATTCTCTGACATCAGTCATAGAATATAATTCAATTATATATTCTGGGACACTCAGTCATAGAATATATAATTGAAATTTTAGTTTTAATAAACATCATTTTCCATATTCAGGTATCCGAAACTGAAGAGTTATATCTTCATCTTGTCAACCAATGTAGCATTACTTGGAGAGCTGATGTTTATCCCATTCATGTGATTAAATAACCATCTGTAATAAAACAACCAAAATGAAATATTAAACTTTGTAAAAAAGCATGGTATTTATGACTACTAAATCAGGTAATTTTTTGTAACTTATATAATAAATTACATAGAGGTATAAATACGTATTTATATAAAGTAATATACGAGCAAACAAACGTTGCATTATCCTTAAATGGTAAAAACTTTAATCGAGCACCGATTTATTGCTTTTAAATTGTACTTTGACATTTTGTAGAAAAGAATAAATCGGTACTCATGAACTGCTTATAATTATTTTAGTTAGTTAAAACATTGAACCTCAAAGGTTGTAATCAAAAAATTCTTTGATTCAAAAATCAAAAAATTCTTCACAATTTAAAGAGGAAGAAAGATGTCAAGATTTTTTCCCCCTGACTTCTGATCAATTTCCGACACGCCAAGAAACATTTCAACTATGTAATTTAAATATTGTGAAACAATTATAACAGTTGAAATCTACTTAAAATGTTTACATTATTAAAAATGTTGTTTCATGTTAAGCCGTATTATAGCTCAAATTTCTCGCAACTTTAATAATATGCTAGGTCGAAACATATAACCAGACAAGATATAATACTTCTTACACAAAAAATGAAGCTGAACTAAAACTTTATTTAACTCATCGAATGTTACATAATACATGTTTTCTAGTGTTTGCAGAAAATTACGCAATAATTGAAACGGACCCAAGTTTAAATTTTTTGCATTAATAATTATATTATTAATTAAGTAAAAGATAATTAAACAATTATGATTTCTGTAAATTAAAATATCTATCATTTTATTATGCTTACCTTAAATTTAATTTTCAAATGCAATTCCTTTGGAAAAAAAGTTTTAAACATCAACTATTTTAAAATAAAAAACTAAATGCGTAAATAAAGGGGTGCATTTTTTGAATACCTATGGGATTTAGTGGTCTGTAAAAACCCTATTACCACAGTATCTATATTAGTATACTATGCTCGCACCTCTTACCATAAAACCAGAAATGGCAGAAATAATTAACATCACAATAAAAATAACATCACAGGAGTCAATAATAGTTTGGACATTTTTAATGGCCCCCAAAATGAATAAGTTAATTTTTATCCATTGCAGCACACCCTCCATTCAGTTACCTGCTAATTGAACTTTTTTATAATTTGCAGTAAGTTTTATTTACTTAGCTGTTAAGTGTTTAGTTATAGTTTAATGGCTATATAAGACCACTATTATTGATATTTACCAATATATCTGTCAAAGAGTTTCTGAGAAATTGAAGTTTAATTTATGACTTTTTTAAAATTCAATTTCTCAGAAACTATTCGACCGATTTCGCTCTAATTTCGTATTTTTTCACAGAAAATTACATTCTTTAAAATGATGCAAAAATTTGTTTACCTTCCGATTCAAAATTTTTTCGTTCCTCATTAAATAAAATAATAAATAATGATTAAAAATTATTTTTGGATGATATTATCTTTGAATAAACAAATTTTATAATTGTGTGCAGATATTTTTTAATACGCTTAAAAATTTCGCGATATATAGCGAAATACGTAAAAAGTAAAATTAACATTAAGGGTTCAAACTTTCGATCGCTCTCCTGGCCAAACTATTGGGACCATATTTCCCAAATTGCAGCTACTCCTCTTTTTTGAAGGTCAGAAATCGAAATTCATCAGGAAAAAAAAGCAAGTAAATTCAGAAAGAGTACCTTTTTGCTCTTGATTTAGTAACTTTAAATATCGTCTGCACAAAATAATTAGCATAATTATGATCACCCCCTTGAACCATTAAGATTGAGTTATAGTTTTTAAAGATCCGACCGATCAATAGATTAAACGTTAGTCAGGGTAGTTAGATTTTTTTTAATTTCGCGCACTGTGCATATTTATAATTCGAATTTTGAAACAAAAGAATGATGTTTTAGCAATATTCAAAAGAGTGCGATGGGCAAATAGTGATAACCCTTTTGTTTTAAACATTCAAATAACAGAAAAAAATCACTAGTAAATAAATCTCTTAAGGTAATCCCGAAAACAAAACACTGAATTTGTTTTTTCGGTTGGCAACGTCTTATTTGCATTAAAACACAAATTTTTGAACCACGCAGAATATAAAAAATAGCCGAAGGACTAATTTCCAAATATCAGGACACGATGTGGCGGTATAATCCCATTTTCGTTAAATATTTTCTATTGGCAACGGATAAAGGTGAGAATATTTCGATAAAGTTTTAACACTTAGAAGAATGTAGAATTTTATTACTTTTCTTTCTCGCATTAGTATTAGTAAGCCATCCCAAATAACTGGAAAATATGATCTGGAAGTTGGTGAAGAATAGCCAGTACACCTCCTGTTTAACAATAAATAAAGTAGGAATTTTTAAAATTAAGGCTTGGAATTGAATATTTATTTCATTCAAGACGTCATTTACGAAAAATTTGGTGTAGAATTGCCATTCACACTAACTGGTGTAGACTTATTTACACCTGCCGAGCAGTTCATCATATTTACACCTGCTCAAACATTTTTATGGCGCAATTAACGGTCGCCAAATATGAAGATCTTCATGTGTGCGAATTTTGAAGCTTCTTGCTTCTTATAAAAGCTTACGGTGAATAATTTATAAGTAATAGTATGTTTTGAACTTGCAAATGAATAAAAAAATCACGTAATCACTAAAAAGAGAGAAAGTGAAAAATAGTCCCTTTATTAAATTTCAAACATTTTCAAAATATCCAAGCATTGATCAATTTTTTGACTTATATTTATGAATTGTTACTCAAATACGTATTGTACTCACATATCTCTAACAATAAACAATTACAATAATTATACGAATTTATCTGGATTTGAGGATTATTCTGAATTTTACAAATAAAAATTGAACAATTTTTATCCCTTATTCTAATGTTAAGTATTAAAGTTAAATATATAAATTGCTTTCGCGATTCATGCAATACACTTATCTATTTAATAAATCACAAAAAAAATTACATTCCTTTTTGTGAAATCTGATTCATAGATCAGATATTTAAAAAAGTATGAGTGCTATTTTATTATACTGTCACTAAATAGAGAAAAAAATTGTAACGAAATTAAAGCAAAAAAAGTGACTCTTCTATAGAATTAATTAAATTTTGAAAATTGTTTGCATCGTTTTAATTGTTAAAAAATAAGTGTTTTCTGTGTGAATTAATATTTAATAACGGTTAAACATAATTTGGTAATTATCTAAAACCAAAATGATGGTTCAAAAAAAAAATGGTTAAAAATAGAAGAAAAAATTTGCCAAACGGCGTTTTTTTGTCAGTGGTGCAGACATAATTTATTATCGGAGGGGACTCAAATAAATTATTAAAATATATTAAAATTATAGAATAAATTTCTTTCTCTAAAAGTTCATTAACATGCTTAATATACATTTTTTGTTATTGGCAGTGTTAGCAATTTTCTACATTTAAATTTTATTTCAAAGTTTAGATTGAAAATTCAGAAATTTTTTTGTACATGGAAAAATTTAAAAGCATGTTTCTTACGTACATAAATTATTTTTTCACTGTATAACTAAATTACTGAGCAAATTTTTTATTTTATAGATATTAAAGATTGTTATAGTACCATTTTTATTATGAATATTTATAAAAAAATTTGAAAGCATCTCTACCAAAATTTATGATAGAAACATGTTTTTTTAATAATCATAACCCCTTAGAATTTAATAACATTTAATTTTAAAATCTTCAGAAAATTGTTAAGTTGGGAATGCAAATTCAAAAATTTATCATTGCACATGGTAAAATCCTTACCTTACAAGGATTGAGGAAGAATTCCTCAATTTTTGTAAGTCTATTATGAATAAATTTTGAAAAATTTCAAGTTTATTTGAAATTTTTTAAAATATGTATATATATCGATACAAAAAGAAGAAAAATAATGACAAAAACAGATTTTGTGAAAACTACCATTAACAACATTATAATATTCGTTTTATTTATTTTAGCAGTTAAATTTTATAATAAAATTATTTTTCATCAATGAATAGAACCGTTGCCACAAAATATAATTATTTTAAAAAGTTCAGAAACTCGACGTGGCATTGACTAAACAAGTAGTTTGAAGTCTCTTGTCATATGTCATTTTTATAATTGCGAAAGTGTTGTGGGTGCAGGATTTTGTGCACGAACTGACCTCCGGATTATATCTCATGAATGTTCCATGGGATTTCAATCGGATGATCTAGGTAGCCAAATCAATCTCCTGGAATTGTCTAGAATGTATTTCGAACCAGTCGCAAACAATTAAGGCTCTGTGACATGGCGTACTGTCATCCATAAAAGTTCAATCGGTGTTTGGGTACATGAAGTCCATGAATGACTACAAGTGGCCAAGTAGTTAAGCATAATCATTTCGACTCAATGGTCTGTGTAATCGGATAGGATCCAGTCCATGCCATGAAAATGAAGCATACACAATTATAGTGCAACAAACAAATTGCACAGTGCCTTGTTAACAACTTGGGTCCATGGCTTCCTGGTGCCACACTCGAACTCTCCCATCAGTTCTGATAAGCTGAAATCGTGTGACCCACCTGACCACGCTACAGTTTACCAGTCGTCTAGGGTCCAACCAATATGGTCACGAGCCCAAGAGACGTGATGTCGGGATGTTAGAGAATAAACTCGAGTTAGTCCTTTGCTGCCATATCTCATTACAGCCGAATTTCGCGTAACAAACATGTCTATTTCACGTCCCGCATTGAAGCTTTCTAAGTTATTTCACGCAATGTTTTTAAGCTGCTAAAACTGACAATTCTACACACACGCCGGTTGTCTGTTATTAAATGCGGACGATCGGCCACAACGTTGTCTATAGTTTGTGGTTATGCCTGAAATTAGGTATTCTTGGCACACTCTTTAGATTTAGGAATGATGTAGACCACTGTAGATTTAGGAATTCCCTCCCAATTTCCGAAATGGAATGTCCCATGCGTCTAGCTCCAAGTACCATTCCACGTTCAAAATCTATGAATTCTCATCTTGCCGTCATTATTCCATCAGAGACATTCT